GTTGCTTTATGAAATGACAATACAATTGCCTTCACCCCAGTGTTCTGCCTCCATAGAGGGTCAGTAGAAGATGCCTGAGGTAGGGAGAATGAAGATTTTCATGAACAAGGTAGGAGTGACCCTCCCACATGGGAGGCCTTCTTCATGTCCTTATGGGTTTGCCTATGAAGCAGACTTTATCATTATGTCCCCATAATGATTTGGGTGTGAGAAAAGTGAGCATATTTTCTTTGGCCATATGGGGACGCTTTTAACTACCATTTCTCTTTGTGGTTAAAAAGAAGTAATTTCTATGAGTGAGTGTTGGAGTTCTTGAACTGTATTATCAGAGTTTTTATTAGAAATCAGAGAAGGGGTTAAACTGGTGTTAAGGATAATAACACTTGTGTCTCTTGCCATTCAATATGACTGACAGCTGATTGTGAGTGATGTAGCTGATGCAGTGCTAAAACCTGTGATAGCTCCTAGTTTTAGGTTTTTAACAAGGAAGGGGGGGGGAAATATTGCTTTTTAGGAATTTGAGGCACTCAGCTATACAGATGTACACTTGCAGTGTTTTCAATATGTAGGTGATTTAGTAAATGTAGATGGCCTGGTACTGTCTAAGACTTCCCAAATTGAGATGGGGAATGGAAAAGAAAAGCGATCAAGTTATTCGATAATGTTACTGATGGGCAGAGTAAAATAATTAGAAGAATGATAGAGTGTGACTTTGTTCAACCACGAAGTAAATTAAGGTATGTATGCCACAGAAGACTGACTTGGTGCTTTGTGTCTAGGTCATATTTCTGATCTTTACTGCTTGCTTTGACTTGCCAAGTAGATAACGTGGATGACTTTCTGTGGAGTTTTAGATGTAGGGTGTTAAATCCACTAAGAATGTTTAGATTGGGTTGGTCGTGTCTGGATGCTTAACCCCAGAGCTTTTCCTGGTGACTGGAATGGTTCCCCTCATGTGCTGTAAAGCTGTGGGGGGAGGAACGCGAGGAGGAAGGGAAAGCTCGTCTGCCCGCCTGTCAGAAAAGCAAAATTCAGCAGCTGCCATGGGGAAAGGCATGGCAATGCCTTCTGTGCAGGGTGGCGTTGTGACAGCAGAGGTGCTGAGTGTCCCACCCGTGGGCCAGCAAGGTAAGGTACTGCTGGGAAACAGAGTTTTGAGTTACCTCTCTCAAGGGGTGGTTGGACTTTGAATTGCACTTCGGTTGTTCACCCAGAATGTAAGTAGTTAATGCTGGAGTTAGAGACAAGAGGTGCTGTCATAGAGCTCCCCCAAGGCTTTCAGAGCATGGACATCAGTATTTATTTCCAAGTGGATGTTCTGCACTGTGGTTGCTGAGCAGTGATAAGCCACCAGCCCACCTCCTGAGTGCAAAAATGGTTGTTTCTTGGGGAGATGATGATCAGACAACCCCCTTTTGGCTGTGTATCCAGTGACTAGTTCAGACAGCTCCCAGCCCTGGCTGCCTGCCTGCCTCCAAGTCCAACCCTTTGGTGCCCTTCTCTTTTGCATGCCTCAGCCAGATGGCAGGTTCCACTGCACTGGTCAGGCATCTGAAACTAAGCAGCCAGCATCAAGTGTGTGCACATCTAGATCCTCTTTGATTCAGCCCTGCATCTACAAAGTGTGTAGAGACTCTGTTAATTTTTTTTTTCAGCTTCCAAAAGGAGTCTGGTTCCAAATAAGACATGATCTTGTGGACTTGGGAAAGTACATATGATTTTGATGCCTTTCAGCCATTAGACTCTGCTTCAATGACTGATTCCTCTGATAGGTAATTTAGTGGTCCCTCCTCTACTAGCTCACTCTTAGGCTTTTTTTCAGCTGAGCATGCAAAAGGATGACATTGAAACACCTGGGGCTTTACCAACCTTGCTAGGTCTTCCATAATCTAGTAAGAACCTCAGCGGTGTTTCAGAAACTAAAATGGCATGGACCATATTTGGTGTTTATTTTTTAACCACATATGAGATGACATGTACTGCATATGCCTTTGGGACAATTTTATTGCAAAAGATATAGCAACTTGTACTGATAAGCTCAAAATAGCTTGTATATGTTACAGAAGGAGTTCTGCTGCTTTCTTCAAACAAATATACCCCCTCAAATATTTATGAAGATTTATACAGAAGTTATTGTGTTTTTTAATAAAACAGTATTTAGAGACTTTAGTAGATGGCAAGTATTTTGGTTGCTATGAAAGGTAAAGGTTGAGGAGTGTGTTCTATGCTGGTCCCCTCGCCTGCTTTTGTTAAGGGAAGGCTGTATTCTTACAAGTTTTGAGGCTTATGCTTAAGTTCACAGTGTTTATGAATAGGACATCTAAGTTTAGATGAGAGTCAGATTAAACATTCAACCACTTTCATGCTCTGAGATCCATAAATTTCAGTGTCATTTCAAGAAGTTAATAAAAATGCACATTGGCAACTGAATGCCATAGTTGTTCTGTAAACTTAAGATAAACCCTTTCAAGAACAGCAAACCCTGAAGTGCCCTTTATAAATGCTTGACACAGAACATGGCTGTGCAGTTTCCCTGTGAAAGAGCATTTGAAAGCTCAGTGTCATTGCTTGAAGTTTAAGCCTTTGGAAGAAATTAAAATGCATATGGTAAAGAACACACGTGGCTCTAACTGTTCCTGATGTCTGGGCTGTCTGTGCTGTGCTTTCGGCAGAGTGAGTCTCTGCAGAGTACCAGTCTTCCATGCTGCAAGATTACGGCCAGTATGGAAAGTAATATGTAATAGTAAGCTGTTGCATTAAAATTTAAAACACAATATTAAGAGTAACTAAAAGTTAAGACTTAGACCTTTTTCTCAGGTAGCCCCAAATTAAACCCCAAGCAAACAGGTTTTCAGACAATAAATCTGGTGTCTGAACTGAATTCCCTGGTAAATTCAGTTTACGCATTTGAGTTTTATCGAGCCCCTGTAATGCCCTTGTTGACAAGAAAGATGCTTTCAGAAGAATGGTAGCGAGGGAGGTGGGTCAGGAGATGGGGGATATCAGGAGTTGCTCTGCTTCTACCTAACTTTCTGTCCTTAATCTCTACTTTTTTCAAGCTGAGAGGCTGTTGCTGTGGAAGTGCGGCAGCACAGATTAGTGTCAAAAACTCCACGTACAAATATATCTTATGTCTTTGTTTTGCTTCTCTTGATAGCTGGCAGTGCCCTGTCTGGGGAGCATTACTGTATTGGTGATGTTCAGTTAAGGCTGGAACTGAATGTTTCTTCTAAAAGGAAGACCTGAACCTTCCCTGTGTGAAACTGCTGTTTCATCCAGGGTTGGTTTTGATAACCTCTTGAGAGGAAGCCAGCCTGGCTTGTGTTACCACACCAGGGAGATCATGCAGATTCTGCTGTTCTCATTAGTTACTTAATTGGTGATTTTCAAGCTACTTCAGCCATATTTCCAAACATAAGGATTTAAAAGATTGTGCTGGTTTTGTTGACACAAAGGAGTCTCCCTTATGATAATTTATTTCATTAACATTTTTATGTGAATAATAAACATCCTGGCTCAGGGTTATTAAAACTGTAAATGCTACTAAGAGCCTGGTTTGCGAGTAAGATGTGAAATTTGAGTTGTAGTTTCTTCCCATTTCCTGTTAGTTCCAAAAGCCTGACGTGTTGTGGCTTTGATTGCCATAAGGTGCATGAACATGCACATTTTTATGGGCTCTGAAACTTCATCCCTTGCTTTTGATATCTTTACTTAAATAACATGTTTTCTTAAATCATACTGGATGGAAACATAACCAGAAACTGCTGCTTCCTAATTAAAATGGAATTCTTTTGGCTGTCCTAATGTGTCACTCATTCCCTACTGACTAGTGACATGGCTAGTTCTTCACTTAAGAAGTAACTGTGTGTTTTGAATAATCCATGGCTGTAGTAGCTTAATTTTGAAACCAATCCATAAACCAGAATTCAATCCCAGTTTGGGAGAGGGTGTCTGTAAATGCTCAAAATGCTGCTTTTCCCAGTGTATAATACAGAATTTCAGATAATTCCCTCTTAAATCCTGTTAATGGCTCTTGAGTAGCTCTCCTCACACAAGAGACTACTGTGAGCTCCTGTGAGTTCTAGTTTAATGATAGAGTGGTGGGTCTCAAATGCTTTTCCAATTGTGTGCAATTTATACCCACAATTTTTCTCAAAGAGTCTCCTCTGTCCTGGCAGCTCTTGTGTGGTCCTGCGGGCCTTGAGCCGCACAACAGCCGAGCAAGAGCACTAAGGGGACAAGACACTTCTCAAATAGTAATCCAGCGCTGTAGGAGACTAGATTCCAGGTGCTGCGTATTGGCTGCTTTGTGGATTTGGGGCTTTATTGGGGTTGAAAAACAGTTGTAGGGTCCCACGGTTTGGCTCTTTCCTCTCACTTGCTTTCCAGTCCCTGGGTGTGGATAAATCTCAGTGCTTGAGTTTACACTAACTGAAGCTTAACTTGCTGGCAAGACAGCTGTATGGAGAGAGTTCCTGCTTTTAAGAAGGTACTAAAATCTGAGTTGTGTTTCCCCCAGAAAAGTGTCTGGTATTTCAACCCTGACCTGGGTGTCATCTGGTGGGCAGTGCCATATAGAAGTGCTTCTGCCACGGCAGCTGAGCAGCATCACTGTTCCCTGAAGGGACCTGGCCATTTCAGGAAGCAGGTGGTACATTTTAAGGAGCTTGTATGTGCCCAAAGATGGGAATCAGACAAGCTGGGGCTCTATACTGGAAGCAGCTTTTCAAAGAAGTGCAGTTATTTCCTCCATGTTTACTGCCTCTTTCACTATCCATCCAAATCAGAGTTTCTGAAGCCTGCAAGGAAACAAAATAATATTCAACAGTCTACACAGAGCATTATCATGCATAGGGACAGAGCTGCAATCAACCTTGCTGACTGGAAAGTGCCAGAGAAAAACACCTCCAGTATTCCTTGAACCAAGGCCTGGCATTACTCCTGTGGTACTTGGCGTGCCTTCAGCCTGGCACCTGTGGGTCCTGCCTTGTTCAAGTCCATCAATTCCGTGGCTGGGAATTAAATTCTGTGCAAATGTTTTGAATGAGCTGATTAACAAAGCGGTAGAGGTTGTCAAATTCATCCACGAAGAAGGAATGCTCCTTGTCAGGGTCCGTTGCGATAGCTTCCAGTTCATCTTGGGCTGCCCAAGCCACTCCGACAGAGTAAGCTATAACTCCTGGAAAGAAACTCGGAGTTTAGAATGAACATAAAAGTTGTCATTGCATTAAGTTTGATTCTAGACCAGTACTACAATTGTAGTTGCCAGGCCACAAAAATGTGGGCAGGGAGTTGCAGTGTTCTCTCTCTATATAAAAATGGTATTTTGAAATTGGAGGAAAGGCCTAGTTTGTGCTTTGGAAGTACCTTTTGCCAACAGTGAAAAGGTTTAAACAATAGTAAAGCTTTTGCTCTGGGTCTGAACAACAGGCCTGCACAACAGGCATTTGTTCCAACACAAATGTCTTAGAATTTTCCTGGAAGATGTATCACTACTCTGACTGAAAAGCCAAAGGAGGCTTCATGTGTTACTAAGATAGTAGAAATCCCATGAAATCTCCTAGACATAGCTGCATTTTGCTAGATTTATGTGTTTCGGTTTTTAAGTTCCTCATTCAGAGGAACTGTATTAAACAGATGCTGGTCCTGTTAGAGCTCAGTGAGACCCCAGGGTGAGGTCCTACTCTTCCTTCATAAAGTTTCATCTAATGCCTTCAGATTGTAGCAAACTTCTCTGACCTGGATAAATGCTGAGGCCTGGAGGGAGAGCAGGGAGCGACAGAAGAGCTTACCGTTTTGGTGAGCTGCCATGGCCGGCACGCTGACATCGTCGTAAGACCTGCCATCGGTAATGAGAATCATGATCTTTCTTTTGTTAGGTTTGGATTTGCTGAACAGCTGCTCTGAGGCATAGCTGATGGCTGCTCCCGTGCTGGTCCCACCGCTCCAGTAACTGATCCTTTTAATAGCATTTAGCACGTCCTGCTTCGTGCTGTACTTGTCAAAGCTGAACTCGAGCCTTTGCTCATAGGTGTACTGCACAGCTCCGATGCGGGTGTCGGTGTCCGAAATCTCAAACTCCTTGCTGATGTTGGCTACAAACTGGAGAACTGTGCGGAAGTTGCTGGTTCCAACACTGCTGGAGCCGTCGATGACAAAACCGATGTCAGCTGAATTGAGGCACGTCTTGCTGCAAGCCAGCCGATCGGTGTCGCAGACTCGCTTCACCAAGGGCTGGACCACCTTGCGTAGGCTGAACCAGCTGGGCACGTTGATGGAGTAGAAACCATTTGTCCTGCATACTGCCTGCAAGGCAACACAAGGACAAATGCAATGGAAATTCAGTCCGCCTGTTTCAGCTGAGGTATGTAGCTAAATTGTAAATATAGGCTCCTGGAAAGAGCAATGCTGGAGTCTGAAGCTGCCTCTCCTTCAGTCACCATCTGCTTCCCTGGGAAATGATGTCAATGTAACTTCACAGATACTTGTGTAATGAGACAGGTTTTCCTGCCTTTTTTTTTTTTTAAAAAAAAAGCTGAGGGATGGAGCTGATATTACAGTAGGGAGAGAAATGTGATAAGCAAGTTTGCCACCTGTTAAGCTTTTTTGTATGAGTTACATTGTTTGAAGAAAAAACATCCAAATCACAGAGCTGCTGTTAGTGTGGCTCCAGTGGGCATTATGGGAGCCTGCGTGTTTGGCCAGGTGTCAACTTCAGTTCCTGTCATTCAGGGCAACGAGGAACATTTTGCCTGCTGACAAACCATATGACCTTGAACTGAAAACTGGGACTGAAGTTGGGTTATTCTTGGCTCATACTCTTCTAAGCAGAAAAAAAACCTCAGGCAATTTTGGTGAAAATACAAATCATTAATTTTTATAACAGAATGCTTATAGGGAGCAGATCTATGGGAGGCTTCTACAGGGTTACTGGGAGTCATGCAAGTGTGGGTAGGAAGTGAGGGTGGGACAGAAGAAGGAGTGGAAGAAGTCAAGTGTGGGGGGGTGTGTTGTGGGAACAGGCTGAATCAAATTGTCCTTGGCTTTAGTGCCTTTTAAATGCTAATGCCTCAGGTCTCTGGGTGAGAATATTTTGTTAAGCCAGACTTTATCTATCAACTTTATGTCTGAGTGTTTTAAAAGACCGAAGCACTGTTTTCTTGGTGCCTGGTCTTGACTTGCATAAAGCCTGACAGCTTCAAGGGAGTTACGGTTCCTACCAATCTGGGCTGCTCACTGTGTCCTGCTCTTGTTTGCTCTTATTGTCTTGCTGCTATTTTAGTGTTACGATGCAGCAGTATCAAAGCACCGTTCCCTCCTTACCTTCCTATTCTGAGCCCACTCTACTCCCACTTCTACCATGTCCCTTGGCAGGCTTGCAGAGACTCACTGTAGCTTTGCCCTTTTAAGAACATGAAATGCAAGTGAAACTACAGTCCACTTAAACACTGACTGGAGTCAGTGCAGCTCTCTGGAGCAGCTCTGAAACGCACAGATTATTTCATGGCAGAGTGACAGGGCTCAGATGGGAATCTGTTTTCTGAAAATACCAGATAACTCAACCCTGCTTCCTGAGCCCCGCCTGGTCTTGCACTTGGTAGATACCTTCTGCCATAACTGGGTGCCAGCTTGCCCTGAAGCACTGTTGAGCAGGCAGCTATAGCGTTACTGCCAAATACAGATTGTTCAAGGCTTCTGTTCTCTTTTTTTTTTCTTTTCTGCATGTGGCAGGGAGTTACTTTTTTTCCAAGAGCTACCATGAAGTCCATAGCAGCAGAAACAAATAACAGAAAAATAACCTGCATCAGAACAACAGTGGAAATAAAATGTTTGAGTAATCCAGAATAGCCTGACAACTGGGATGTGCCTGTGTTGGGAGTGTCCCAACATTTGCATGTATGGGACCTCTTTGTGAATGCAACATCGACATTAGGTTGACGGGGCTCTTCAGCCTTTGCTGGGTGGGAGATGCACAGCAGGAGGCTTGTAGAAAGCTCAGGCTGCAATTGTGCTTTGTCATCCTACGGTGTATTTGGAAAACCTCTTGTCTCATTACAAATGCAGGTTTGTGCCAATGTTTAGTCAGTAAAAAGCCATTTGCTCCATGATGCCCCTCAAACCAGAACTTTACTGACTTCATCTCCTTTCTTACTTCAGCGTTGCTGCCTGTCTCTTTGTACAGGAGACCTCAAGATAGTATAAGCAAGACAGGAAATAACCGTAAGTGGTAAGAAGGAAAAGGAAATGCCCTGAATGAAACAGCTTGGAGTATGTAGTCAAAGCCAATGTCCCAGCCAGAGCCCAGCCCAGTAAATACCTTGTCCACAAAGTTTGGTTCAATAATACTCTGCTTCTCACTTTCAGCAGCTGCTTCAATAGTGACAAAGAAAATGTTGATCCCCGATTCCCTGGCCAGCCTGGAGGCCTCCTCCACTCGGTCAGTCGGCCACCCATCCACCATCACTACAACCACATTGGGTGCTCCACCTCGGTTTCCATTAGCATCCAAAAAGAAGTTTTTGTTAACAAATGAAAGTGCCTTTCCTGGAATAAAAGAGGAGATGAGGATGAATTACAGGTCTGGAAGCACCCTTCCTGATGGTATCTCATGAAATGGCAGGCAGAAGGCTGATTCAAGTGTTGGAGCCCTGCTGAGAGCTGGGGAAAGTGGTTTCTGTGGCTGTGTGAGCAGGAGGGGAGGTCACTGCTGTCAGCACCAGTGCCCCCTGAGCCCTCCTGTGCTGTACCCAATTCGCTCCCTCCCTGTGCCCCAGAGGGGCTGGGGGGATAACAGGCCGTGTTAGCAAGGACCTCCAATGTGTCGGTGGGACCTGCCCATGAGGAGAAACATAAATCCTGTCCACTTGTGATGGACTCCCAGAGCCCTGGACCAACACAGGCAGGTCACAGTGGGAGTGCCCCCTTGCCAGCCCTGCCCTAGCACTGAGCACCATTTGGTCACAGCTTCCGTACCCGGTGAGGAGGTGTGGGCTCACTACAGACCAGGCTCTGGAGCCCTCCCTGAGCTGAGGACATGAAAGCAGCCCCAGCACTTACCAACGTTGGAAAGTCCACCTTTCTGTGGGATTTTCTCAATGGCATTTCTTAGATCCTTGGAGTTGGTATAGGTTTTTAAGTTAAATTCTGTGGAAGCGTCATCACTAAAATAAGAAATGAGAGCAATTGTCAGTATTGTGCTTCACATGCAGCAATACAAAAGCTGTAGAACCTGTCTGTGCTACCTGGCTCCTAAGTGTGAGCTGGAGTGAGACCTTTAGCATGTGTCAGCCTCAGAGGTACTGCTGCCAGAGTGTGCAGTCGTGCCCCACAGCAGTGGGAGTAGCTGCGCAAGAAGCTCTTACCCGTACTGAACGATGCCCATCAGAGGGCCACTGCTGCCGATGCCAAGGGCTTGAGCCACGTTACCGAGGAACTGCTTCTGGAGATGAAAGCGGCGTTTACCAATGCTCCAGCTCCCATCCATCAGGAAGGACAAATCAACCTTGCAATCTGAGGAGAGACACAGAAACATGGAAAATATTTTTGGTCCTCTCTGATAGCTGTGCTCCTTGTGAGGAGCAAAGGCCTACAAAGTCTGCATCCAGCAACTTGTCCTGCTGAGCAAGCTCTACCAAAAAGCCTTTGACAAGGACAAGTCACAGCTAGGGGCTCAAGTCTGTCCTGCTCATTGGGAAACATGGTCCTTGGCATTATTTTCTCCCATACAACATCCAAGTCCAACTGGGTGATGACAGGGCAAGAAGCTGTCCCCAGGGGTCAGTTTGGGAGCACCATGTGTTTGGGAGCACTAGCAGCCTTCCATTACCTGAAGGGGGTCTACAAGAAATCTGGGGAGGAACTTTTCATAAGGACAGTTAATGACAGAACTAGGGGAAATGGCTTTAAGCTGAAAGAGGGGAGGTTTAGATTAGGTATTAGGAAGAAATTCTTCACTGTGAGGGTGGTCAGACACTGGAACAAGTTGCCCAGAGAATATGTGGATGACCCCTCCCTGGAAGTGTTTAAGTCCAGGCTGGATGAGGCTTTGAGCAACCTGGTCTAGTGGAAGGTGTCCCTGCTTATGGCAGGGGGCTTGGAACTAGATGATCTTTAAGGTCCCTTCCAACCCAAACCATTCTATGATTCTATGTTTGGGGGCTAGGGAGGAGAAGTCAGATGTGCAGGAGCAAGTGGGCTTGTGACCTGTGCCATCAGAGCCATGGCTTGGGCTCGACCCACTTCATTCACAGCCCAGAGGTGCTGAGAGTTTGCAAAGCCAGACATGACCCTTGGATTTTGTACTCTGGACACCTGCAGAGCACAGGCTGCAGGGATTTTTTTGGTTATGCTTTTGTGGGGTTAATTGGTATGATACGTAACAGCAACAGTTCTTCACATACTACGTTAATGCAATTCAGAAGGGAGGGAAGATCCATGCAGTTCCCTTAACGTGATGCCTGGGATGCACCCTGGGACAAAGGACATCATAAAGTCTCTTCAAGGAGCTGCTGATGGTGGCCCTGGCAATGCTGCGCTTCTGCATGAGAATCGTTCCGCAGCTTTATTCTAGGGTGGAGCGAATATCGGGGATGATGATTTTGTTTGGTGTGTTCGGAGTGAGCAGAAGCTCTTTTCTCACGTAGCTGTAGGTTTCTCCCTGCATCTGCAGCAGCAGCAGCACGCTGTTGTGTGTTGCCTCTCTGGGCTGAAAGTGATAGTCTAGAAAAGCTTCACCTGCACCCAGACAAACTCCTCCCTCTAATTACACAGATGAACATGATATTTGTGCTTCTGTGAATCCTGTCTTCATTATTGCCAACCTGCTTTTACTTCTCTGCAAGTTAGTGGTAACACATTCATCAGTTGGACTGCAACCAGGAGTGGGATCAAAATGTGGCTTAACTAGAGTGCTAATTAACATTTTCCCCCTCTGGCGACCAGGTCATCCTCATCTCTTGATTTCCCTCCGATGATGCCTCCTGCCAATCAGACTGTCCAAAATAGTGCATTTTAATCATTAGGTAGCCTGAGGGCTACAAAGCACCAATTGTTCTTACTGGCTTATGCAACTGCCTCTCATCTCATTACTTTCAATTTTTTCTCCCATAGCTGTCTGTTTTTCTAATTTTAATAATGCTGAATTATAGACGCGTGACCGAGAACTATATTCATTCACAGCATATCATGAGGGAAGGCCAGGAACCCACAACAAATAATACCTCAATTAATGGCCAAGTTTTCTTGAATTTCCTGTCCTTCAAAGGGAGCTACACCATGCAGTCTGTATGTGGAAAGTGGGGAGTTTGTTAGCCTGCAGGGTCCCCACATGCAAAGATTTACATACACTTAAACAGACAAATTCTGGGGAGAGTTCAGACAGCAGGAGTATTTCAGTGCTGGGACATTAGAGGGACTCTGCAAGAGCACAAGCTAAACATGCTCTGGAGGGAGCTGAGCACTTTCTGATTCCCAAGGAGGCAAATCTGAATTACAGCTTTTATGGTCCTAGAGGTATCCCAGGGTGAGAGTTTTGATTCTGGCCTGCCTTATCTCAGTTCAACTGCTAGAAACAGCTGTGTTTGACTGCGTCTCTGCTACACTGTGCTCTGCTTTCATGCAGTGAGATTGGGTCTGTAGGGCAGATTCTTCCCCTTTTCTTCTTCTTTCCTTTATTTTTGTATCAGTTTTAGGTGTATTTGACATCTTACATAGGAGGAAAAAAAACCACTTAGGAGGAGCACCTGTGAATATACAGACAATTTGGTCCTTGAAATGTCAGTTCTGTGAGGGATGGCGTTCAACTGCTAGAGGATGGGCAAGAGAGGAGCTGGGTGCTGGTGGGAGGTTGAAGCCCCCTCTCCAGGGCAGCTTCCCATGAGGAGGCAGTAGGTGACCCAGAGCTTACTTTTTCTTTCTCCTTCTAGTCTGTGCCCCATCTAAAGATGAGTTAATGGGCAAAACTGTCTTTGATTATAAAGAGCTGTAGAAGATTTCCTTTTCAGAGAAGGGGACCCTACATCTCCATACCCAGACTGAGGGACCATCAGTGCTCCCTCTGCATCCTCTCTTTCCTCACTGCAGCAGGTGCTGGTTCCCTTTCTGAGGTGGTTTCCCTCCCTCCCACCCACTGCTGCAGTAAGGGTGCCTGTGCTCAGCAAAAGGGTGCATCCACCCAAACCACCACACCAGGGAAGCCTGCTCTGGTCAGCAGGGCTCACTCATCTAACGTCTGCAACGCACTGGTTTGCTATCCTCCACCATCAAAGTCCCTCAGTGAAGCTCTGCACCCCAGGAATGTGGAACTGATACTGCCTGGGAAGAGGCAGCGGTGAGCAGCCACCATCTCCCTGCCCAGGTAAGCTAAATCTTGACTGTTATTTCCTTCTCTGTAGAAGCAAGAACCAAGTACACATATGAAAGCAGCTGGCCAGAGTGCTCACTGGTCCCCTGCAAGGGAAAAATGCATTCCTCAAGTTTCTTAGGCCTTCTTGAAAACTTACTTTTTGCTATTTAATTTGAATGCATTCTAGCAACGTGTAATTAATAGAAGGGTATCGCTTAATTATGAAATTAATTCTGAAGTACGTACTTGGGTTCCCCTGGGAGGTGGGCTCCAGTGGCTTCGGATTCAATTCTTCTTTTGAACTGAAGCCTAGGGAGAGGAAGGAAAGGCTCAGCTGGTGTATGCTCGCTGGCTGCCCTTGCTCTGGAAGGAAGCAGGTAACAGGGCAGCTGCAGAGTTCCCCCTGGCCTGAGGATTGATGTGGTAGGGAAACGAGGATGGGGAGCACATCCTTGGAGCTTCCTTTTCCACCTACATCACTTGTATGATAAAACAAGAGTGGAGGCATTTCTAGAAGTACCATCAAAATCTCTTCAAGCACCAACTTTGACTCTCTTCTGTGAGTCAGTCCCCTCACTGCAAGGGCTTGAAGGTAGCATGCACAAGTAGAGGGTTCCTCAGGTCCAGAGGCTGATGGCCATGGTGCGGGGTGGTGGCCTCCTAGCACTTTGCCCCTGAGAGAACCAGCACTGCCACCCTGCAGGCTCGTTGTGCTCCAGCTGTGCTTTATGATGAGCTGCACAATGTTCAAAGCAGATGAGTGACAGATTTAGCCTATTGCTTTTCTATCTGGAGAGGAAGGCACCGGCAGCAACTCACCCTGCCATGGTACAGCTGGGGAAGCAACACAAGCCACAGCTCCTCAGATGCTGCCAGAGGACTGTGTTATTTTGGAAAGCACAAAAGAAACAGGGTAAATGATGGCAGAGAGCTACAGTCAAGTCATGGGAAACAGTGTCACGGGTCACTAGTGGATTTTTAGCTGAGGCCCCAACTGGGATATTTGGACGGTAGCAGCCTTGGGGAAATGAGTTGTTGTCCTTGTGAGATGCACTGATTCACAGGGCACGATCATACTGGTGTCAGAAGGTTTGAAAATGCTCAACTTCACTCATTCCTTCAATGTCTGGTAAGAGTCTCCTACAGTAGAGCATCTCCCTTCCAGGCAAGGGCAAAGAGCTGCTTCTTTTCACTAGAGCATGACAAGATTAAGGGGATTTAGCTGGGATAATCCTCAGAAGAGACAGCAATGATCAGACAAGCCCCAAACTGAATGCTCACCAAGGAAGCAGTTGGTCAAAAGAACAGCAAAATGGCTTATTATTTTTGTAAAATGTATATTAATTTTTATTTAAAAAGGAGGAGAAAGACTTACTTAAATCTTTATCACCAAATAAGTCGAGGAAAGACTACAGACTTCAGAGAAACAGTAAAAAGGTAACTTTAGAAAGTGTGAGCTTAATATAGAAAAAAGATGAGAAATTACTAGGTGCCATAGTTTGTCTCTCCATAGCAGCCAGCCACGAGCAAGCCAAGCGTGAGAGCATCAGTGTATGTAAAGAGAGCAGGCGGCAAAGGGACATCAGCGAAGGCCACCACCTAAACATGACAGGAGCTGTAGCAGTTCTGAGTGCATGCAGCACCTAATGGTTGCTGAAGATATTAATGAACAAGCCATAATAATGCAGAAAACAGCCAAGAAAATGGGGGGAAATACCAGCTCCATCTCCCTCCATCACACTCCTATTTCCATTCCAGTTACATCTAATGATTCACCACTCATAAAGGGCAAATACAACTCCTTTGAGTCCTTCCACCTGCATACTGAAAGCTGCGCATAGATTTGGGTCAGGGGCCAAGTTTGTATTAAGTCTGAATATGCAGCGCCTAACGTAAAGCTGACCTGATGCCTGATGCCCCACCAGGAGGCTGTAGCACACTGCTACAGGACAGAAAGGTTGCTTTGGCTGCTTGTTTGTAAATTCAGCTGCCAGTGAGGAAAGTTTCTATCACAGGGACTAAACAGACCTGCTAACGGCAGCACTGTGTGATTTCCCTCTGCTTTGCTTATCCCCAGGCATCTGCTGTTGCCTGTTACTAGAGACAGGACGCTAAGCTAGCTGGAGCGCTGAGCTTGGCCTTGTACAGGACTGTGATTCTATGAAGGGCATGAGGCAAATCCTGTAGAAGTGCAGCTGCTGCTCCTGAGAGATAAACCTTCTGCCAAGCGAGGCACTGCAGGACATGGGTGATTGAGGAGTATTTTAACTGAAAATACTTGATGGGAGCAAAGCCACCAGTTGCAGGCACAAAGAGGCACAAGAATGGCCTGGGGAGGCACCAGTAGCATGAGGTGCAAGCACCAGCGGTGCAAGGAGAGGAAATGGGACAGCATTAGAGGAGGAGAATGAATTTTGAGTTTAGGCTGGAGTGTGTTTGTGGGGGCTCTTTGGATAAAT